TATAATGTTGATCTAAATAGTGCGTACTGGTAGTTGTCTTTGGTATTTATTTTACCAGACTTATCTTTTACAATACCCACTAGCAATAGCCTTAAAGGGTGAAGCCTATACTCATAGAATCTGGGGTTACAATATGTAACCGATGTTTTATATTGTTCGATGTTATTTTAAATGCTTTAGGGTTAGAATGTTTTGCTCTGAGGAAGTGTTAAATATATTGATTTATTAAATGCAGGGTTTTCCCCCAGTAAACTTACTAAGCCCAGTGGTTGGGGCACCAAGGTGGTTTGTATTAAAACATGTTAAGTAGACAGGAAATGTAAAAATATTACTGGGTAATTATATGTTACGGGAAAACATAGCCAGTGAAATGCTGTTTAAACCCACAACTTGTCTTAAAAACAACAAAATCAAAAAATACAATTAAAATGAATATCAATTATTTGCACTTCTGTTTAATCTATAATCTAAATTAAGTCAGTGGCTCCAAAAGCCCCCACCCCATGACTTCAGGGGCCCATAAATGCTAATATTTTAACACAAAGCACATTTGTTTATTGAGATGATCAATGCTGCTAAATTTGATTTAATGGTCTCAGCAAAAATTAAAATATTTTAAATTGTTTAACAATTAAATGTAAGATTTTAAGGAGCTGGAAAGTTTACTTTATAAAAGTTCAAAAAACAAAATTCATAGTTAGATTGTTTTGTTACTGCCTTTACAATCTGATGCTATGAGTTTAATCTTTGAGTTTGAGCTCTGTTTGTTCACATATTCAAATTAGTAAACTGCAATTATAACTTATTGCTTTTTAGGTTGGTCAATAAAAACTATTCCTCATCTCCCAGATTTGACTAAATCTAACACAGAAGTTGGTAGAAATGCTGATGTTTTTAGCAGCAAGAGGGGCCCCTAAGTCAAATTCTTCTCAAGGCCTCATACAGCATTGGACCAGCCCTGCATGATGAGTTAAATCTGCTGCACTGCGTAGAGATGAGCAACAAACAAGAGATTCAATTTGATGCTGCTAATGTGACTTTAGTAGCTCTTCCATTTTGTCTCTGTTGAGATGGGATGAGTTTTTCACATCTCTGTGAGGCTGCGCACATTAACTCTGGCTGACTAAGTGGACAAAGCATTTGGTATGGGTTGGTGCATCGGGTAACTGGAAAAATAATATCAAAATGAATAATAATATAAAGCCAGCGTGATGCGTGACTACGATCCGTGCTGAGATTGTTTTATGTGAATGGAACCTTTAATATGACTAACAAGCCTCGTCAGAGCACATATAAAGTTTTATAGAATAGAACTGTATCTTTGATCTGCCTGTGATGGACTGGCCACCTGTCCAAGGTGCACCTGCACCTTCCAAGCCTGTAACCCATGCATGTTGCCATATTCACCAGGATGATGAATTGTAATTCAAATCAGGCCAGAGACAGGACTGATGCTCAGGGTCACTTTAATCTGCTATGATAACAGCACAGTTATGAGTATGTGTATGACAGCTGCATGCAACAGTTTCCACCAGCATCCATCAGAATTCTCTTTCTTTATCGTATGATCATATAGGGTTTTTTTAATCATTAATGCACTTTGTTCCATTGGTGATTTGTCACCATCAAAGCAATTTCTGCTCAAACCACCAAATTTAAAATTAACTTGTACAAAAGGAAAGTTAAATTGTGTGTCAATAAATTGTTAAGTCTATATATGTTTCCCAACAAAGTTACATAAATGTCAGAATATCCTTCAAGGCCCGACTGGCTCTCCGGCAAATGTTGTACTGCACCTCAGAGTGATGATTAACAGGGAAACATGAGCAAATCAAGAATGGGACTTGCTGCTGAGCTCTGACAAACATGCTTGCATTTGAATAATAGTCCACAGCCCACACAGCACACCTGCAGCAGTGATTTCCATAAGGAAACAGTCATTTACAAGCCATGGATTCTTAACAGAACTGTGATCTTGTGCATTGAGGAAACAGCCATTGTCTAATGATGAGACACAGATCTGAGCCACCCCCTACTCTGAGGTGTCCATGATGGTCAACATGATAACATACATGCCCCATGGTAATCCATTTGTCACCGGTCAGCACCCTCGGAGCATCATGGTTAACTTTACAACATTTCTTCATGATGCTGTATCAATCCCGGTGATTCCAATTTTCCACATGTTATGATGAGGTGACTTCAGTAAAAACAAAAACGCCCTGCTTCTGTGTGTTCAGAAGGTCGACAGGCAGTATCCAGACACTCACAGAGCAGTTTCAGGCAGCTGCTTTATACCCTGCGCTCCTCCATGGGAGGCGCCTCCCTCCATCATGAGGACGAGGGATGCTGTGAGGAGGACCAGGATAATGGTCCTCCTCGCTTCAGCCCTGGAGGAGCCAGAGGCTCGGTTCTGTCGCTGCTAGCATCAGGTTAGAGAAGCAGGCAGAGCTCGTACCGACAGGTGCCTCGGCATCATTACCCCGCCATCCCACAGTATAAAAGCCCAAACCAACAGCAGCCTGAAGCTGTGAAGCGGGCCCGAATTAACACATACGGTCGTTTTTTTTAATTCACGAAGGAAAGCGTTGGCTCGGAGATTCAATGAAGATACAGTCAGGGTGCTCGGAGACTGCCGCGAGCCGAGGCGTCGTGCTGCCCAGGTTCGCGATTTTCCGTTTGATCTGAATGCGCGTGGACACACTCACCTCTCTGCCATTTTCCCACCGCCTCCTAAAATTCCTCAGCAAGAACGCACAAAACACCCTCCATGTTGCTGAAATTGCGGTAGCCGCAGTCACGGAATCACGTCTCCTAGACTAGTGTCAAGGCAACGGCGGTAACTACGCAACATTCATTGGTTACTTTCAAAGTAAGAGCTTCTCTAATGACCAATTTTCATAGACATGACACTAGTGTGTCATATGAGATTTAACTTCTTTGTATTTTTATCTTTGTATATTCGGTTAACCTATAAAAATATTCAGATTTTAACCTTTTAACGTGAATATAAGCAGTAAAATTGTTCGGTCAAACTTATGTTATTAATAATGTAAATGTCGTAATATCCCATCTGGATATGGTGGGATATTACTACAATATCTATCTGTAGTAATTAAAAAAATAGTAATTGTAGTAATTAAAAATTACTACAGAAAATTAAAAAATTACTACAGGTAGTAATTAAAATGATCTTATGACCATTTTACCTGTTCAGTGGTAAAATGGTCGTATATGATGCGAGGACTGTAGCCCTCACATCATATACGAGGCTACAGTCCTCCGACTGCTGGTTATCTATCTATCTATCTATCTATCTATCTATCTATCTATCTATCTATCTATCTATCTATCTATCTATCTATCTATCTGTCTGTCTGTCTGTCTGTCTGTGTGTGTGTGCGCGTGCGTGCGTGCGTGTATGTATCCAAATAATCATGTTGCACAACAAATCCAGGAGGCCCAGATTAACACTGTCAGATTTGATTTCAACACTTTTAAAGTGTCTATATGGGTCCACACCAGAAAGTGTTAATTTAACTCTTTTTGGAGAGTTGGTACCTTAACTCTTATAAAGTGTCAAATATCAAATCTGCTGGAGTTAATCATTTAACACTTACTAACACTAATTCAGTGTTAGATCTTAATATTAACTCTCACAGAGTACTTCTTTAACTTCTTAAGAGTTATTTGTAATTAATATTAAATAGGTACTTTATTGTGTTGAACTTTTAAAAATTCTTTGGAAAATAAACATTTAATAAAGAGGCAATGATTTTCTCAAATGCATTTATTTCAAAACGTGCACCATAATTACAAAACATATTACAACGTGGAATAATGTGCATGTTTCACATGTCGCTTTCATTCACATATTGCTTTTTAAAAGGTCTGACATATCAGCTGGGCAATACAAAATGCAGTATGCTTAATACATTTTTCTTCAATACAATATGCATGAAATTGTTCAAAGCACAAGGTGGAGAAAGTAAAGCCTGTATCAATGCATGTAGCTCATATAATATGATTGAGTAAATTTTCTTTTAACAGGTAGATTGCCAGATATGTACAGTACATAACAGACCAACCTGATATTCAGATCCATCATTTCTTATCCAGTTTCCGTTTCTGTTCATAAGAGACAGTTCCTCTCTGCACTCCACCAGAGAGATGTCCACTCACTAACAGACTGTCTTCAGGTTGTTGGGCTATTCGTGACGTTTGGCCGGAGACACCAACATGCTCCTCTACTGCATTAGACAGTCTTCAGTCTCTGAGTACTACAGCCAGTGTTGGTCTCTGGATCATAACAAACAAAAACAGAACAATGAGGAACGGAACGAAGGAATACATTTTTACTACAACTCTAACAACAAGCCTCCATTACAGAAATGTAGGGTTTCAGAGATATTAACACTTAAATAATCATTTTTGGAGCTTGAATCTTCGAAGAATCCATGGAGGGATCAGGAGGGGGAGGTTAGGCTGACGACTGGAGATTCATCTGCAACCAGACTGGTTCTAATATATACAAAGAGGCAATAAAAGGATTAAAAGATGCTGTAAAACGTATATAAGAAGACACAACAGCGGGAATAATGCTCTCAACGTGAAAAAGCCTTTTACATTTTTTCAAAGGAAAAAAAAATCGATCAGAAAGGTTGATAAATCTGACCAATATGCATGTAAATGTTCAACATCACGAAAAAACATATTCCAGATTATTACGGATCTGTTCAAGTTAGCCAATAATTTGATTAAATCTTCACCGGCTCATATTTTTCCAACAAATACTCCGCTAACATTCGGCATGGTAAGCTAAAAATACTAACACCGAGCAGTGTGGCGAACATGACGTCTATCATACAGGTTGAGCT